AGAAATAGTAGATGTATATAACCAAGTAGCATTGTAAATTGATAATTAAATGCAGTCACTCTTTTTTCCAAATATATATGCAATTAGATAAATTAGATATAAGTTAGTATGTAGTGTATTTGTAGAACTGAACATTATAAATGTGTTAGACGGAAAAACAGCTTTGAACTGCGTTTATAATTTTAATTTGTTGTCCAATTTTGAAGGAAATGCTTCTCCGATTCCCGTATACTTAAAAATTTTTATATAAAGATGGTTCACCTTGCTAACAGATGTCTACTGTGTTAACGTTTTTTTTCCTTTAGACGAATTATGATCTCACAAAGTAGATTGGCCCCAATTCCAAATTCTAGCGCGTCCTTATATGCCATAGTATCAACATCGACTGTAAACAATCTGACGGTCGAACTGATTCGCCAAATCGATGGGTCCTACTTCGTAAAACACATGAACAGTTACACTTTGTTCTGTGTGCCCTCCGTACCAGAGGCATGCGCGATGGGAAGGGCTCCTGCCTCTTGCTTCATCCTTTTCCGATCAAAAATTCAAGGCTGCTTGGTTTCACTTAATTTAAGATTAGAACGAAGAATAGTATCAAGACACGCAGCCAATCTCTGGAGAGGGATTAACATCAATGATCCCCTTCTCTCGGATACGTTTAGACGGATTTATGACGCTGCACTCTATCAATTTAACTCTATGCAAATGAGGATTCGTATTGTTAGGCCACCTGCTTCTCCGGAGCAACCTCTTGAATCTGTTCCTACAATCGATGGATTTGATAACTCATTCAATGGGTTGCTAACTCAGCTATTCAATTTGAATAGTAGCGATTAAGAAAAATAATTTGGTAATTCACAACTAATAAATATTTTTTTCTAAATAATAAGCATAAAAAAATTAAATTATCAATTATTTTATGAGATTGTATTTGGGATATATTAATATGTTTAAAAACGAAAATAATTATATGAGTTATATTTGTATTTGTTACAGTGCTTAAAGTATTTATGAAAAAGTTCAAATCTCAGCGCGTTAGTTCTTAAAATAAGGTTAAATACCAAATTTGGTATTAATTATGTAATTTTTATCTATGATTATAAAATTTAATAAAATAAGATTTTTTTAAGAATGTTCTATGTAATTTAAAAATTGAATTTATACAAATTATCAGAAAAAATTTTTTTAAAGCAGGAAAAAAAAAATTTAACGAAATATATTAAGTTTATTTACTTTCTTTAATATCTATTTTTAAATCATTATATTTGAAGTTTGAATTTTTCAAAATGGAAGACTTCATATCTTTAAAACTAATGAGTAAATGTATTTCATCTAGAATTATATCATTAAAAATTGGCCATGTCAAGAATAGTTGGATCATAGGAAATAAAACAAGATTTTAAAATAAAATTAATAAATATGAAGCTTGTGTAATGTGAGCTTATCGCGCTGCTAACGCATTAAGGGTGGAGAATATGTAGATCATTCTATTAATAAACTAGTGACCAAAATTTTTTTACTACGGAATAAAAGTTGCTACATATAAGTTTAATTTTATATTATGTAAGTTGATATTTGTGTATTAAGTAAAATTGTTCATAACATATATTCTAAAAAATTTATTAATTTTGAACAAAATTTGGTAAAATTTGTATAGCACCAACATTTGCGGGGTGGGCGGGCCATCACAATTAAATCACGTGTTTACAATAAACAAAGTAGGGTCGCAAAGATAAAAATAATCATATCTTGTGATATACCAAGTAAATTTTGATGGTTCTACCACCGTTAGAAAATCAAAAGAGGTTTACTTAGTAAAAATTGCTTTAAAATTAAATAAAATTTTTTTGACAATTGGTTAGACCAACCTGATTTGGTGGTTTACATTACATCCCTTCTTCAAAGGGGATGGAACGTATACATAATAAATTTTATTAAAATTTTTTCAATCGGAAATTATCGGCCTGACCTTGCTCGTCTTTTATGTTCTCTTCAGAATTTTTCGGATCCTTATAATTTCTAATCTTAATTCCGCCCGGCATTAGTTCTCCAGCCAAAATCATATATGTATATCCCAAATTTTTTTTTACTAAGAGAGAGGGGGGAGGTCAAAAGGGGGGTAATGTAAACCACCAAATCAAATTGGTCTGGCCTAATAGAAATGATCTACATACCCTCTACCCTTAAATGCTGCGCTATCGTTAAACTGATGACCCGACATATTTCGGAAAGGAAATTGAACCTAAATTACATGCAAGGCTAGTATGCGGTTCGTAACACTTTAAAAATTTTGCTAAATAACGTAGTACATGCTTATAGATACTTTGCAGACTGCGCATGAAAGAATTATATCTGCCTCCTTGAACTTTTTCATCTTGCGCAGGAACTTTAAATATCTCGAGAACGCACATTTTACCCTGAATAGCGCACATGAATGCGCATTCGTATACATGACCTCATAAATGAGCAATTTGCAAATTTATCAATCTTATTTAAGGATATTTCTAAACAATCAAATTTGATGCGCCGAATTGTCAAAATATTTCATATTATAGTAAGTCTATTCAAAATATATGATTGTTCAGAATAATTGTACTGCATGTACCTCTGAATACATATAATCTTCTATTCAAAAGCATATATACTGTATATATGTATTATGAAGTAATAAAGTTTGTTTTTGATTAAGTGCTATTGAACGCAGCAGATCAATAAAAATTTTCAAGATAACAAAGCAGTCAGGGATTTTTCAAATTCGTGTAACGCAGATCATTTCAATTTGAAAATTATTTTTTAATTCTATGGCACGAAATTTGTACCAATCATTGACTGTGTTATTATTTGGCACACAACCGCCTTTTAAAGCCCCCACGGATTCCTAGACTACATATTCACAGAATAACTTTTGCAAGAAAATTTTAAAGGTTTTTCTAAAACTTGATTGTAATTTTTAGATAATAAAAAATGCTTTTTTTTTAAATAAAAATCGGTTTTAGAATAACCTTTTAGCATATTGCAGATCATTTCTATATCTTGTAAAATACCTGACTGCAAAGATACAAAATATAAAAGATAACACTAGTATTAGATTATCCAATGATGCTGTGATCAATAAAAAATTTGCTTTGCGGAAATAAACGATTAATCGTGCCGATAGCACCACATTATAACCAATCATGGATTTAATTTATCTATATTGGGTGCTAATTGCTTTTAATAATTTTTATTTTTACGCTCGCAGAAAAGCAATTAACACAACGTTTCATGTAATTACGTACGACATCGCTGAGACTTGGAATAATACTACCCTTTGCTTTTTTGACCCATATATAGATAAATATATATAGAAAAGGACAACAGCACTTGTGCATAAAATATAGAATCGAACGAATCATTGTATATGGTAGTAAAAAAATGGTGGACAACAAGCTGACAAGGTCACAGCGGTAAGAAATTAAGAACTCCGAATTGACTATAATTGTAAATTACCCCTGATTAAGACAAATAGAGAAAATTAGAACCTATTAAATTGATACTGTTAAATTAGAGGTGCTTTATTTTAGCGATGCAAATGAAACAATTCCTTTTCGCTTATAAATACCTATTACAACTGCGATTACAAGTATACAGTAATCACTCCGCATATATAGCTTATATACAATTGAATATGTGCGTCTGTATCAATGTACACGAGTTGAAACTTTCGCGCTCGCCCGTAATAATACTATACTAAATTTGTTCATGTGATTAAGCATAAACGTTTGTTTACAGAAAAGGTTTATCCGTGTAAATCATAACCATAAAGAAATATAAACAAATAATTATCTGTGGCTTGGCAACGGAGTACATAGACTTTTTATAGATTGGCTGAGATAAGTAACTTAAAAAGACAATTATCAATGTATTTAAGCCGCGGACTGATTTTTCCGATCCACCATTGTTACCTGACTAAAAATGTTCATCACGTCAAAAGGATTGTTTCATATGCCTACTAATTTATAATAATTCTATTGTCGAAATATCTTTTATATAAATATAGCAATTCATAGTTTAAGTGAAAAATTTTCATGAATATATATAAACATAATATCATTTTCGTAAATGCTTTTTGATAAAAATAGTATTCAATAAATTTTAAGATTAACATGAAACTTTTATTTAATTGAAACCTTAAATAATCGTTTTCTTCAGAATTCTAAAATAGTAAACCGCCAAAATTCTAAATCTAAAATTGGTAACTTTGTTGTTTTCTTTCAATATACAGCACATGCATTAGAGTTGCATGGAAATTAAATTAGTTAATTCGTAAAATTGTGCCAATTTTACTAAAATAGAATCCGTTCGGTAGTATAATTGTAATATATAACTGTAAATTATGAGATGATGAAAGTCGAAACTTAACCTCCTGAAATATGAAACTGACAAAACGCCTACGAAAGACGAAACTTCCTTGCAAAAATAATTACCCAGAGCTCAGCCTTGTACATTTATAGTATTCTTAATGATACGTTTATGTTTTTTCTACCACAATCAATATGCATATTTCTTACTTTTCTTAGACTTTAAGCTAACTTTTCTTAGAATTTAAAGCTAACCTTTTTTTTATATACAATTGAGTCTTAACAAAAATGGGTAAACCTATTAGTTACACTTTCTGGAGATAAATCAATTTAAAAACTTTTTATAATAAATGATCTAATTAAGAAAATAATCTTTGCAATAGAAGGGGCCCAAGCTACCCTGGAAGTCAAAAAGTAAGGTTTTGTAAGATTCGGGTAAGGCGAGACAAATTTGATGCTGTGTTTTACATTACCCTCACCTCCCTCTCCAGACCTTCCCCCTCTCTCTTAATAAAAAAAATTTGAGCATATATACATATAAATTTTTATAGTTGCTGCTATGTTTAAAAATTTTATAGTATAATTAAATATAGGGTAATGATATTCATACCGCAAATTTGATATCCATACCCACACCACTAAGCCACATTCGTTGAATTTGTTATTGACTCGTAGAATTCAAATAAAAAAGGCTCATCAAATTTGGCCTAGTGATTGTCGAGATACCTTACCATAGAGCACTGCATTTAGTACTCCCTTAGAATTGTACCCTACCAGATTAAAACCTCATTACTGTTATTTAATTTCAATTATGTTTGTGTAGTTATTTTCATCCAGTAAACATGACTCTTGTCTAAGAATCATTCGAAGTATTTCCATTGGATTTTATCTTTTCCCTTGCATAAAATCACTGGGTACAAATCAAGCTAGCCAGAGTTTTTTGATTTTGTACTCCGGGGATTGAATGCAATGTTTTACAGTACTTCAATAGAACTTCACCTCAAGCCAAACAGAATTAGCATTATTAAACACTTTCACTTTTGTCGATCAATGAGAATTAAGGTCCTGATTTTTATAACTTTGGGTTACGTATTCTTGGCCAGGTTGCTTTACACCATTATAGCGAGCATAAAATAACCATTGCAAATTTGCTTTTATATGTACCTTTTAATCACATTTAGTATTTTTTAAGTACTAACACATTATTCGTTCATAATTTGTTCATAAAGCCTAGATAGTGAAGCCGTCTACATGTCATATGATTAATACCATCCTGGATAGCTTATACAATAAACCAAAGAATTTTATATTTAAACAAAAAATTAATTCAATAATTTCTATACTAATAATATAATATTAATTTTTATATAAATTTTTATTTTTTAGTAAATACATTAAACTTGTGTGATGAAATCACCATATGTGCAAGTTCTAGTTTGTAATAATTTTCAAATATTAGGTCATTATCTGTAATTATTTTTATTTTGGGTTATTATA